CAGCTGGCGGGGGAGGGTGCAAAGGCACCAACTCCAGAAGTCTGGGCCTCAGCCCCTTGCTCCCAGTGTGGTGCACATGATGGCCTGGGAGGGTTTTAAATTGCCAAGTCTTAGGCCCCCCCTAGACCTCCTGAATCAGAACCACATTTTAACAGGAACTGCCAGAGAGTGTGCACATGAAAGTTTGAGAAACGCTGGTCTACAGTGCAATCGAGGAAACACCCAGCTCCTTGCACACCTAGGCCAAGACAGAAAGCCGATACTGGGCCACACTCATCCTCACGGGGTTGCGCTTTAATATTGCTCATACTCTTTGTTTTCTTAATGGTCCTTGTGAGCCAAGTAGACTTGTTTAATCTGCTTCTGAATTAAAATTTTTTAAAATTGATTTTGCTATTCCACTTACTTATGCATTCATTGGTTTGATTCTTGTATGTGACCTGTCTGGGGATCAAACCCACAACCTTGGTGTATCCAGATGATGCTCCAACCAACTGAGCTACCTGGCCAGGCTGCTTTTGAATTTTTATAAATATGGAGTAAATGACTCTGTCCTTCACAACACTCAATGCCTGCTATACAAAGCTTCAAGGAGAAAATAAAGGACTAGCATGCTTACTCCTTTACAATAACTGATCTTATTTCCCTTTTTACCATGGCTACTATGATACTCAGACCCATATTCATGGCTGTATTAACCTTGTCAACTGTATTTACATTCTACTTTAATTTCCTCTGGTCCATGCTTTTTGTGTCTAGTGTACTATTAGCCTTATTGTTAAGCTTTTCATTATGAGCGACCCTAAGTTGCGTTTAGAAACAGCACATTGTTTGAGTCAGATGATTTGGAAATGTCTGTGTGCTACAGCAGCAAACCCTCGCTCCTGGGTGACCATCACCCTTTCATGGTAAGAGCCAGGTCATGGCACGTCCTCTGTTGGATTTTGTTTGAGAAGAGGATGGAGGGGTTGGGAGAAGGATGTGTCCTGGAACTTCTACCCCGACTTAGGAGAAAAGAAAACCCAACCAGCTAGAGGTTACTTTGAGACACTAATCAGCCAGGACAAGCATAGTTACACGGCCAAGCAGTTTACAGCCATCTAGTAAACCCCCAAATCCTCTTCCATAACCAAGGACACTTTTGCCCTGGGCTCAGTTGCTTGAGCATAGTCCCATGCACCCAGAGGTTTCTGGTTCAATTCCTAGTTGGGGCATATGCCTTGGTTGTGGGTTCGATCCCCAGTAAGGGGTGTTCAGGAGGCAGCAGATCAATGTTTCTCTCTCTCCCCCTCTCCCTTCCTCTCTCTAAAATCAATAAAAACATTAAAGAAAACAAAAAGAACCAAGGTTTCAACTTCACCAGTAACAACTTGGGGTGCTTACACTGTGTCCCTCCCAGCTTCCCTCCTGCACCTTCGTGCCCATCTCACCTGATTGGGGGTCCTTCCTGTTGGGGGACTCTCCACAGCCTAGGGCAGGGTCCTGTTCACCAGGGGCTTCAGCTGCCATCTCTCCACGTGCCGCTCCTCCTGCCGCTGGGCCCGCAGGCTGGGCGGCCAGCGCTCACTCAGCACAGCATGGACTGTGGACTCAGTTGAGGCTGCTCAAGGTCAGGAGGGCACGGCATCGCCCAGCACAGGTGGGGTCAGTGGCCTCAGACTATGTGCAAACAAACTGGTTCACACACCTCCCTCCAGGCCTGGGGGTGTTTCAACTTGCACAATTCTGTTTCCTGGGTCTTGGCTCCCAAGGGGAGGTGAAGGGGAGCAGCTCGCCACCCCAAAATATGCCTCTTTGGGGGTAGTGGTTATTTGAGGCTGGGTAATTTAAGAAACTGCAGACATGGGAGAGGCTCTGAAAATCAAGAATTACCCTTTGTAAATGACACTTACATTTGTAAGGGGAGTCTCACTGGTAAGGGGCTCTGCCTCCCAGCCAGGCCTGCACTGGAACCCAGTGGCAACCTTACCCTTGGTCACTGCTCTTCCTGGTTACCTCCCACAACGGACTCTCCACCCCAGCATCAGCTTTTGTCTTTAGCTGAAGGTGGTATTTCAGACGATGGCTTCAGCCACTCCCATGGGCACAGGAGGTATACATGTTATTAACTTGTTAGCGTAAGAAACATTAGAAAATGGGAAGAATTTTTGTGAGTTTATTTGAGCCAAATACCCACAATTGCTGGAAAGCAGAATCTCAACGTATTGGGGTAATGCTCCAGAGAATGGCAGTTTCTCAGCTTGTTTTATACATTTCCATCAAAGGAGGAAACGTAATGTAAATTGCTTTCCCAGTTTTGCCCCTTGCTAAGTATCCAGGACTCTCCACCCTGGTGAGTTTCTGTACCCGGCCCATCCCCCTTGCTCTGCTCTTGTCTTAGCAAACTGTTCCCAGCCTCTCACAGGTTTGTCCCCCTGATATTCTTAAAGCCTGGAAGCAGGTCTGTGGAATGCCAGGTAGGTCTTCAAGGTTCTGTTTGTGGGCGAAAAAGGAGCCACATGCTCACCTGACAAGCTCAGGGGAGGCCTGCCCGCAGGCCTCTGACCTGGGGTGGAAAGGCTGCAGAAAGGCCCATTATCCAAGGTCATATCTCTTGCCTGTGACATCCAGGCCTCCACATCTAAGAGACTAATCTGGTTAAATTAGGGTGCTCAGGAGTGAGGGACGATTGGAGTTGCCAAGACCCGGCCTTCCCTGGTGGTGGTCAACGGCAGTGGCAGTAGCTCCTAAGGGGGGTTTAGGGGAGGGCCTGGCACTTGGAAGGCGCTGGGCACATGCGTTGTGAGTGCATGGAAACACTCTTTAAGGTGGGGGAGGGGAGGTGCAGGCCCGAGGGAGACCTGTTCCTGTTGGGGTTGAGTAGGGGCCCTGGATGCCCTCTTGACACGAAGCCCAGGGGGCCACATCTCTGCTGGTGCCCTTTCCTGGATGCAGAGATGCCTGAATAAAATAATTGGCTATAAGACATGTGAATACTGTGCTCATGCAAATTTATGTAAATAACATGCAAATGTAGCTGGCCTTAGGCTGGGTGCCCTGGGATGGCAGCTGATGGGGATGGGGTACCCCCCTTTTACTTCTGACTTTGCCTCCCTCCTCTGGTTCCCAGGAGGACTTCACAGGGAGAGGCCTGCCCCTTCGGTCAGTCATTCTCAGTGGGCTCACGAGGGAGACAAGCAACCATGGGGCCCAGTGCATAGGTCTCTCTGCAGGAAGCTCGGGGGGGGGGGGGCAGAGGAAGATTTCAGGCACTGACCCCAGATTCAGAACAACACCCTCACCCATAGAAGGACAGTGAGGCGTGGAGGGTGTGGTGAACTTCCCATCATACAGCAAGAGGCAACAGAGCTGGAATTCAGTCCAGAGCTGCCTGATCGAATTCCTTGTCCCTTTGCCATCATCGCTGTCTACGATGCTGAGCTACCCAATAACTAAATACCGGGGTGTGTGTACATGTGGGCATGCAGTCGCCTAGAGCCGTGGGCCCCTGCAGTGGGACTCTGGCCCCCTGAACGTGCCACCTCTGGGCCATCTCTCCATTCCCGGACCCGTGGCCTGGCACTTGGAAGGCGCTGGGCACATGCTTTGTGAATGCATGGAAACACACTTTAAGGTGGTAGCACATAAAGTCTGTTTCAGCCACAGGGGTATTTGTTGCTCTTTCCCTAAGCTGGCCTGGTCTCGGCCAGACCACACTCTGTGGGTAGCTGGGGGTAGCGTTTTTATGTCAGGAAATGGATGTTCTATTAGCCAATCATGGGGGAAGGCACGCATCCTGGGGTGGGGCCTTAGAACTGGGCAAGGAGGTCCCCTCTGGGCCCACCTGCTCAACTGTGGAGGGGCAAGAGGAGGGGCAAGAGTTCCCGTTGGTGAGAGTTGAGCTGTGACTTCCTTCCTCCTCCTCCCAGCCCCCACCCGGTCCACCTTCCAGTCCCAGAGGATGGGGAGGGGGCACAGGCAAGAACTGAGCGGGGTCCTAAGGTCAGGCTGAGGTCATGTGAACTGAGAGTTCTGGATCTGGGTTGACTCTGAGCTTTGAGGGAGATTCAGCTCTGAGTCATAGCCGGGCCTGCTCATGCTGGGGCCAATCAGGGATCCCATTCCCTCTCTAGAGCAAGTGGGGGCATTCGTGGTCCTCAGTGGGGAGAGCTATGCCCACACAAGTGGGCACGTGGCCGTCTCGCTGATCATTGGTAAGGGGCGGGGCAGAGGCTGGAGGAAGGGCCTTACTAGGAGAGAGTTTTCTGGGAAATACTCAGAGATAACGGTGGTAGGGGTGGGGCAGGTATTCTCCAGAGGCCATAACCTCCTGGTAGGTGGTGTAGGAGCTTGTGTTAGAATGATTTCAGCCTCAAAAGCAAAGGCACTTTTGTAGGGGGTGACAGGCTGATGGGCTCTGAGACCCACATAGCCCACCTGTTCTCCGGCCTGGGTACCGGCCAGGCACAGTGTGGAGGGACAGCACCACTGAGGCTGGGGCGGTGGTGGCAGAAGGCATGGCTGAGCTGGCAGGGGCCCGGCAGTCCGGGGGCACCGGCACCAGAGCAGGGTCTCCAGGCCCAGCAGCCAGTCTCGGCCCCTTAATCTCGGGGCCCCGGGCTTCTTCCCAAGCAGCATTCACTTCGGAGTTTGACTGGCTCCCCAAGTGAAATGAGGCAACTCTGTGCTTCCCCGGCTTCTCACACAGGGACCAGGTGCAATTATGGGCCAAATAAGATGCCAGCCCCACAGCAGAGGCCCACGCCCTTGGCAGAGGGCAAACGGGAGCCGAGGGCAGTGTGGTGAGCGTGGCTGTGGGGCAGCGCCGGGCTTCTTGCCCAAGCCGGGCAGAGGTGGGCAGGCAGAGCACTCAGCCGGGGGTGGGGGGTGGGGATGGTCGGTTCCCCCACCATTAGTGAGGCGAGCGGCTGCTGAAGCATTAGCCACCGCCTGGCTAATGTGCGGTGGGGAGGAGCGTGCCCCAGGCTCTCAGATGATGGTGCACCGAGGGGTAAGCGGCGTGGGCAGGGCTGTGGGTCCTTGGGAAGGGAGAGAGCAGAGACATGGACCCTGCCCCTCAAGAGTGTATTTAAGTCTGTGACTCTGAGCTCGGGCATCTTTACCTGGACCCCCTGGAGACCCAGGGCTGGAATGCCATTCTTGACCCCCCCCCCCACCGGAGGCTCTGCCCTCTCATGCGAGGGGGCTTCACCCTGGCACATGCTCTGAAAAACGGGCCCATGTTCTCCGGTCTCAAACCCTCTTGGGCAGAGGTCCTACCAGAGCCGGGGCAGGAGAGCACACGGGCCAGGGCCAACGGCCGTTGTCTCCCTCTGCTGGACGCAGCCGCCTCATCAGCCGCCTGGCCGTCCTGCTGCTTTTTTAAAAATATATTTGTATTGATTTCAGAGAGGACAGGAGAGGGAGATAGAAACATCAATGATGAGAAGGGAGAGAGCAGAGACATGGACCCTGCCCCTCAAGAGTGTATTTAAGTCTGTGACTCTGAGCTCGGGCATCTTTACCTGGACCCCCTGGAGACCCAGGGCTGGAATGCCATTCTTGACCCCCCCCCCCACCGGAGGCTCTGCCCTCTCATGCGAGGGGGCTTCACCCTGGCACATGCTCTGAAAAACGGGCCCATGTTCTCCGGTCTCAAACCCTCTTGGGCAGAGGTCCTACCAGAGCCGGGGCAGGAGAGCACACGGGCCAGGGCCAACGGCCGTTGTCTCCCTCTGCTGGACGCAGCCGCCTCATCAGCCGCCTGGCCGTCCTGCTGCTTTTTTAAAAATATATTTGTATTGATTTCAGAGAGGACAGGAGAGGGAGATAGAAACATCAATGATGAGAGAGAATCATTGATCGGCTGCTTCCTGCATGCCCCTTACTGGGGATGGAGCCCACAACCTGGGCATGTGCCCTGATGGGAATCGAACCCAGGCCTTTCAGTCCTCAGGCCTTGGCTCTATCCACTGAGCCAAACCAGCTAGGGCCATCCTGCTGCTTTTGAGCAGCTCTCGCCTGCCCCGGGCTCCCCTTCATCCCTGACAACTTCAGTGCCTTCTAGCAAGGCCCCCCACGCCCGTTTCCCAGCTGAGAATGCTGATGCTGCAGCGGTGGGAATGGGATGGCGTCCACATGTACCACCATGAAAGAGATGGAGCTGCCCACTACGTGGGGAAGAGCTCTGAGAAGAGCAGGGTGGGGTCTGCGGCTCAGGCTTGCTCGTGGCTGTGTGACTGGGACAGGCCAGCCTCACATCCCTGCGTTCTGGATGCTGACCTCTGAAGGGCTGGAGACCGCCCAGCTAGAAGGCATCGCAGGCAGCATGGGGCCCGTCCTCAGAACATGGCTCTGAGCTGCCTCAGGCCCAGAGCAACAGAAAGTCTCAGCAACAGAAAGCCTCCCCCTCCCGCCCTCCTCCCCCCCTAACCACCTGCCTGCCCCACCCCTTCCTTCCCCACTCCTCCCACAGGGCTGCCACCCCGCAGGGCAGGGCTGTATGGACAGTCAGGCTCTGTGCGGGCCCGGTGAGTGCCACTCAGGCCTGGGCGCCTTTCTTGCTGAGGGAGAGGCACTGAGTGGTGGTTTCTCCCAGGTCCAGGGTTTCGCGTCTCCGTTGGCAAATATCACATGTGAAAGCTTGTGTTCGGGGGTTGATCTGTTAAATGGGCGTAAGCCGATGGCGTTGAAGCTGCTTCACCCTGATCCAGGGCATATGTGCTCAAATACATTACAGATCCGCAGCTGAGACAAAAGCGCTGTGAGACAAACTTACCCTTATGGTGTGATGATATCTGATATCTTAATTTCATTCTACTCCATTTCATATTCTTTTTTTTTCATTAGAGAGAGAGAGAGAGAGAGAGAGATCTGTTACCTCCCGTGTGCACCCCTACTGGGGATTGAACCCAAAACCTGGTATGTATCCTGACTGGGAATCGAACCTGCCATCTTTCGGTTGTGCGGGACAACGCTCAGCCAAGTGAGCCACACTGGCAGGGCCATTTCATTTTTTTGTGTGTTTTGTTAATCCTCAGCCAAGAATATTTTCCCCATTGTTTTTAGAGAGAGTGGAAGGGGAGAGACAGAGAGAGGGAGAAACATTGATGTAGAGACACATCGATTGGTTGCCTCCTGCACACGCCTGACCGGAGCCAGGGATCCAGCCTGCAATGGAGGTACATGCCCAGGTTTCAGGTTCAATCCCCAGTTGGGGTGCATAGGGGAGGTAACAGATTGATGTCTCTCTCGAAAAAAAAAAAAAAAAAGAATGAAATGGAGTAGAATGCACTGGGGGGTAGGGGAGGCCAGGGGATTGTCAAGGGCAGGGGAAAAAATGGACACATATGTAATACCCTTGTGTTAGAATGATTTCAGCCTCAAAAGCAAAGTAAGTTTGTCTCACAACGCTTTTGTCTCAGCTGCGGATCTATAATGTATTTGAGCACATATGCCCTGGATCAGGGTGAAGCAGCTTCAACACCATCGGCTTATACCCATTTAACAGATCAACCCCCGAACACAAGCTTTCACATGTGATATTTGCCAACGGAGACGCGAAACCCTGGACCTGGGAGAAACCACCACTCAGTGCCTCTCCCTCAGCAAGAAAGGCGCCCAGGCCTGAGTGGCACTCACCGGGCCCGCACAGAGCCTGACTGTCCATACAGCCCTGCCCTGCGGGGTGGCAGCCCTGTGGGAGGAGTGGGGAAGGAAGGGGTGGGGCAGGCAGGTGGTTAGGGGGGGAGGAGGGCGGGAGGGGGAGGCTTTCTGTTGCTCTGGGCCTGGGGCAGCTCAGAGCCATGTTCTGAGGACGGGCCCCATGCTGCCTGCGATGCCGTCTTTGCTGGGCGGTCTCCAGCCCTTCCGAGGTCAGCATCCAGAACGCAGGGACGTGAGGCTGGCCTGTCCCAGTCACAGCCATGAGCGGGCCTGAGCCGCAGACCCCACCCTGCTCTTCTCAGAGCTCTTCCCCACGTAGTGGGCAGCTCCATCTCTTTCATGTCGGTACATGTGGATGTTTCTTTAATGAGAATTGTGTTATTTTTAAAATACAGGCTAGAGTGGCTGATGTGGCTCAGTGGTTGAGCATCAACCTGTGAACCAGGAGGTCACGGATCGATTCTCTGTCTGGGCACATGCCTGGGCTTCCGGCTCAATTTCGTGTGGGGCATGCAGGAGGCAGCCAACCAATGATTCTCTAT